ACAATTCAGGAGGACGGGACTGATCTGGTGTGCAACTGCAGATTCGATGCTCGGGTTTTGAGAGCTCCCAAGATGGACGGTGCAGCAACTGTATCCGCTTTAATCAGGAGTGCATGTTTACGCCCGTCTCTTCCCAAGCTCAAGCTTTCGTCCCAGCGCATGCAGCCTACCCTCACCTGCGCAACCAGGCCCAGGGCCGTGGGCGCGGTGCTTATCCCGGCGATGGTGTGATGCTATATGGCGCTCATGGTCAACCTCTCCCACCGCAGCAACAGCAGCCGCCGCCGCCGCCTGAGACCACGCTTCCTCCTCCTCAGGGCATGTACCAGCATCCTTACGGCCGCCCACCACACCTTGATAACCAAAACCCCCCGCCACCACTGGCACATCCTCCCATGTCTCAAGATCAGGTGAGTCGTTGGCAACGTACCCCGTCATGGAGTATCGGGTTCTTACCATTTCGACAGAGACAGCCAGGTACTCGCCGCGGCTCCGGATCAGGCTTTGAGTACCCCGATCCCACAAATCTCGCCCCGGTATCCCCTGCTGTTTCGGCGCCCAATTACTCCGCACCACCGTACTACCCGGCGAGCCACGATAATAGACGCCCATCGCCGCAGTCGGGCTATTCCTACGATCGGAATTCTCCGCACAACTCAACCTACCCACCAATGCAGGCTGGCCAGACCCCACCACCGACCTCGACGCCGAGTTCTTCTAGAGGAGGACTCAACGTCCGCGACATGCTCAACCCAGGCGATCAAGGTCAAAGTGGTCGTTCCAGCACCGACAGTGACATGGTCAACGCCTTAAACCGAAGAGTCTAAGGAACGACACTGCTTTCCGGGCCCAGAAAATTGAAGCCTCCATGATTTGACAAAAGAGAAAAAAAAAGGGGGGGAGTGCGCGGGTGGTTTGATGAAGAGCAAAGCATGATACCCAAAGTGAATGAAGAGGGGGTGGAGATGGGAAATGGTTTTTTTCAGTCTCAAATCCTTTTGGGGTTTCACAGTGGGAGAAGTTCTTGTGCTGGCCGCGAGACGTATCCCATGATTTGTGGAAGAAAACAAAGGTTGTAATATGAGCTCGGTTTGGGTTTAACTCTTTATGTCTACTTTCAACCCGGCTGGTGTGACAGCGTTCAACCGTCGAGTCGAGGAAGATGGGTCTTGTCTTACGATGGGGAAGAAGAAAAACGCATTCTGGATCGGGGCGATTGCTGCTGCAGCCTAAGTACCTCGCGAGGAACAAGTGGCTGGATTACAAGACTTGCGGCCAGCAGCTCGCAGAGGAAACACGATGATGTATGTTCATGGTCTGTGTCCAGCCGACGCTGCAACTCGTCCTTCTCGCCAGGCGTGAGAAACAAGACCCGATTTACCAACTTGATATGAAGCTATGGAAACGATGAGCAAAAGCGGATTACGAGGTGGATGACTGCAAATATTCACGGGCCAGAAACGCTGGAAGAAGGCGGTGCGCGCATGGAGTTGTTTGGAACCTATCGAGTGTCTCGTGCAACTTCTTTTTTTTTTAATTTCTCCCTTCGACGCTCTGATTTCTCGAGATTTGCCGATGTCTAATATCCCCTTTCTGTTTCGTCGTTTTTTTTCCCTCTCAAAAGACCGAAAAACTGCAGTTCTGATAAACTACCGGGGGCGACCCATTAATGCACGTCTTCTATTACTTCCAGCGCACCTTTCTGTCCAACTGTTTTCCTTGAGGGCTTGTTTCGAGGATCCTCCTCAACGCTCGTTTCCTATGTTTTGCTCCGGCTTTCTTTTTGCAGTGTCTTCACTTTGTCTGCTGTGAAGAACATTGCTGGGATGTTGATGTTATGGGTGGCAATCTGAATTGTCGCACTTTGAACGATGCATATGTCATTTGGCGGCTCTCTCGTCCTTCTTTCGGCTCACGGGCGGTCTTGTGACTTTGACCTCAGTTTATCGGTCGTTTGGAGCATCAAGGAACCATAGATGCGCGGGTATTTGGTATGGCATGGACGGATACAAAAGTTGCGGGATTAGCGGCATCAGCTGGTTTGCGGTCATTCAAGCTTTGCTTCAGCCTCCTAGCTCGGATCACCCTCGTGCTTGTTGGCTTCAGCAATGTCCTTGATGTTGACTCTGCTCCAACTGGGTTGCATTTCGTTGACAGTGACGGCGGATTTTTCTTTTCTTTTTGTTCGATTTCTGTTTCCTCTCTAACCCTCTTGTAATTCACCTATTACCTGCATGTTTCTGACAATATTTGGGTGGCTATCTGCTTTTTTTCTGTTTGCGAGTCTTGCAGTTGTGTTTGTAATTGTTTTTCCTGAGAGAGCTTTTTCTTTACTGTTGCGGGTGGAAAGTCTTGTCATCCTGCTACGGAAAAGGTTCTATCATGTATGCAACTGGGAGGCTGTCTGATTAAATTATATTAAAGTTGTTGTTAATTCTGCCGTCGTCAATCAATCTTAAGCGAGGTAATTAGAAGAGATATTTAAAACTGGACTGCGATGCATGTCTTTTGCTTCTGCGGGGCGTGCTTGCGGCCCGAACCGAATCGGGCCGGGGCAATGATCAGATCAGATCGACTAGCTGAAAGCGTGCGCGTGCATGCATACGGAGTATGTATGTACTGTACGGAGTAGTAGTGTATGGATCCGTCATAATACAATGTTCATGATCTGCCCTGCTCCTGCCCCTTGCAGATTGTCAGACTCCTTCGAAGTGAACGTTGATGTGAATATGAATGTGAATGAATGTAAGTGAGTTGGTCAGACAGATTCTCTATTGATCGATTGATTGATCTAAGCTACATGCACATCATCGAATCGAATTAGATTGAATTGGATCGTATCAGATGGGATCAGACCTCACCTGCGAAAGTACCTAAGCAAGCAAGCAAACAAGCAAGGAGTTCATTTACATATTTTACAGTACATATTTTTGCCTCGATAATAGTTCGTAGACAGTCAGTTCGGTCGATAGTACTTAGGTAGGTAAGTAGGTAGGCAAAAACTAAGTAAGGAGGGAGGGTTACATAAATGAAGTCGAGTGGAGTGGAGAGGAATGGAATGATTGGAGTCAAATTAATGAACGGATTCAATGAAACGAATGCATTTTAAATGAAGCCAGAAAGAATTATAGATAGGTCGGTCGGTCCCGCCTTGGAGAGGAATCTAGGGATCTACAGTACATAGTAGGGATCTAATTTCTAGGGAGCAGTAGATTCTTTCTTTCTTTCTTTCTTTCTGTTCGATCTGAGCTGTTCTGATCTGATCTGATCTTTGGAAACCGACCATAACCATAAGCATCGTCGTCGCGTTTGTTTTTTTATTAGAAAGATAGTATGGTTAACTACCTACCTAGGTAAGCACCTATCCTAGCCTAGCCTGCAAATTGCTATCTATCTATCTATCTAGTTTCTAGTAGTGTTTTAGGGTTTTAGTGCTTTAGTGCTCTCGTCGAAAGAAAGGGGAAAAAAAAATTAAGTGGTCCGGACATATTCGGACATATAGATAGGGTAGGTAATATTTGTTTTGTTTCACTTTTCTTTATTTTTTTCTTTACTTTAGCCTGGTTTGATTCTTCTGTGAATATTGTTATTATTTCCCTTTTTTTTTTCCGGCTTTTTGAAGGGTGGCTAGATGTCAGTTATTATCTTATCATGGAAATGAAGGAAGATGATCGATAAATGAATAATGGATCGATGGATAGATAGGTAGCAAGGTAGGTAGGTAGGTATATAATCAATCAGTCAAATCAATCGTATTATTACGATTATTCAGAGTACATACAAACAAACAAGTTTACAGGAATTGGAAAGGGAAGGGAAGGAAGGGAAGGGAAGATAACAGAGACAGGATAGGACAGGGCAGAGCCAGGACGAATCTTTCTTTCTTTCTTTCTTTCGACCACGACTATGTTTCTTGAGCCAAAGAAAAAAAAAAGAAAGAGAACAATGTTGGATGCAACGCAAGCGAATGAAGGATAATAATGAGTCGCCCACCTAGAAACTCTACATGCTTAAAAAAAGCACATAAAAAATGTTGAAGGAATGAAGGAAGAAAAGGAATTTTCCTCCTGCTACGGACTGACTGAAAATAGGAATGCAATGAATGAATTGAGTTCTATGACATTAAAGAGAGAGAGAGAGAAATGAAACAGAGCTATCGAAAGCTCGATTAAAGCTTCAAGATCAAACAGCCAAAGGAAAGAGATTATCCTGAACGATCCTGCTCTTTCACAAAAAGGAAAAAAAACAGCGCCAAATGAATGCATGGATGGATCCAACGAATGAGGATCAAAAGGGTCTAGCGAGTGTAGAAAAAAAGAAAAACCGAAATGGAAAAACTACACGATACACTCCACTCAACGTACGTTGTCCAGAACCTTGGTCATCTTTTTTGCCCGCGCCGGATCTTCTACCGTCAGGCCGCGCTTTCGAAGAACTATCTCCAGCGTATCCGCCACCTTATGGAAAGAGGATGCTGCACCACGCACCTGTCGGAACCGGATTAGGCTGAGGTTGGCGTGTCTGCCGTGCTCCAGCACGGTAAAGAACTCCACAGAGAATTCGACAGGGCGGAGGCGAAGGACTTGACAGTGTTAGTTTGTGTTCCAGTTGATGAGAAAGAGAGGAACTTACAATTTCCTTCCCCGACACGGCCATAGACGATGTTCTCGGCCTTGTCGAGCCGCACGTCTTCCATGCCGTATTGCTTCCATTCGCGCAGAGTTTTGTACACCTCTTTGCGGGCCTTCGTCCTGGATGTCTGCAGGGCAACGACTCGCGTGGCGGGCTTGATATGGAAGAAACGCGCAAACCAGTTCTGGCTCGCACCAGAGTGACCATGATTCTGACGTCTGGGTCTCTGCTGCGGTTGAGGCTGCGGCTGCGGTTGCGGTTCTGGAGATGGCAAAGCGTCTTGGTCTTGCGTAGGCGTAGAATCGCTGGCGTTTGTGTTGGTCGAAGCAGCCACCTCCGTTTCGCCAGTTTCGTTACCTGGAGTTGCTGGATAAAATTAGCTGCGTTGAAACACAAAGGCGTTAAAAGGAGTTACCTTTATCGCTCCCCGAATCTGACCTCTCTGTCTTCTTCTTGCCAAAGATCTTAAGGAAGCTCTTTCCAGATGACTTCCTAGCGGCGGTTTTTGTCTCGTCTGCTGCCGCGGACTGGGACACTTCCGCAATCTTGACATCAGGGCCAGTTGCCGAGTTCGGCTGAGCAGGTACCGTGTCTTTTGGCGTCGGAGGCGTCTCCTCATAAGTCTGTGATTTATGCTTGCTGAACCATGACCACTTCTTCTCAACGAATGAGGCCCTCACATCGCTGCATCGTGAACACGGTGGGTTCTCCTCAATGGGCTCCAGGGCCATGCGATAGCGGGAATTGTAACGCATGCTGCCGTAGAAAGTGCCGTTACTCCGACCCTCGAGCGAATTGTTTGGAGCTCTGGATAAACTGGCAGAGTCTGCGGAGCTAGAGCGGAGGCTCGTCGTCACCGACGTCTGTGTGTTCCTTTTCCTAATATTGAGTGGTTTGATCTCTTCTATCGAAGGCAAAGAGGAGTCCTTTGGAACCATGCGAATGGTGCTCCTTTCCTCACGTCTGGACGAGACACGAGAAGACTCTGACGAGGATTGGTGGTCAGGATCCTTCGACTCAGAACCACCTGAACTCTCCGTGGGGGACGTCAGCTCTTCAGAAATGGAAGGCAAGTGATGGGTGTCCACGGCGGACTTGGGGTTAGGGTCTGATATTGCGCGTCTGCTCTGCTCTGCTTCCTCCGATTTGCCTCTTTGTTGTCGTGCAGTGTCCTGTTCGATCAGACGGTCAAGATGCGCTATGACTTCCTTCAGGTATTCCGGAAGACCCTCAGAACCAGCCTTTGCAGAGTGTTCCAGAAGCCTGCGACGGGTTTCGGCAAGTTCTCTGACGGTATTCGAGCAGGATAGGCCCTCTGCTGTTTCTGGTAATTCACGCTCGCTTGACTTGGCGCTAGCTTTTAACCGCTCAGCCTCCTCATGGATGGAAATGGATGTCGCGGTAGAGTCTGTGCCACCTGCAATGCTACTTCCCAAGGTATGGCCGGTAGAAACAGAGCATCGGTTGAACGCCTCCTCGCATATTTGGCTGAGTTCATTGGAGACCTTCCTAGCCTCCTCTTTCCAGAAGCTGCTGCTGCGTCGAACCTTCTTAACATCGAGATCCTTCCCTGCGGCTGCAACCACATCGGAAGTGCGAACCACCGCTGGTGGACTCGGCAGTGCAGGGGTGCTATAACGAACGGAAGCAAGCACGGTGCTGCTGATCAACTTGGAGCTCTGATCACGCGCCAAAGATTTTGCAATTGAGTTCTGGGATATTGTTTGCTCCCTTTTGATTTTCATTGAAGAAGCAGTTTGAGACCGGTTGCGAATGTGCCGGAAAGAAACATTGCGCTTATAACTGCTGGCAGCTCGCACGCCCGGAGCAGGACTGAATCCACGACGAGATGGCGCAAGAGAAGCCCTCGAATTGGTAGATCCTTGTACTTTCCTTTTTCTATTGCGCTTGATGACCTCCATCGAAGGACTACGCGCGCCGTTGGCTTCTTCAGGCTGCTCGCCGCAAACCTCAGATTGTTCGGCAGTTTCAGTTCCCTCAGCCGGCTCTTCGATCGGACGGGCATCAGAGGACTTTCGATGAATTGTCACGCTTGCATATTCCACAGGAGGATCGGCAGGAGGACTGAGTGAAGCTCTGAACGGATCATAGCAGTGCGAAGATTTTGGTTCTTTTGCTGAGCTACTACGGTGGCTCACTTCCGGCACTATTGAGAACTGGGATCGTCGACGAAGCTGACTCTGTAAACGCCCGTTCTTAGAATGTCTAGCCAATGCCCTCGTCGCTGCTGGTGGCCGGGAAATGTGATGGTAATCACTGGCGGAATACTCAAGAGAATGCCCATTATAATTTTCGAGTTGTTCGTCTCTGAACTTGATCAGGGCATTATAGAACATTTTCTCGAGATTTGGTCTGTAAAAGTCCTCAGTAAGCCCAGTTCACTTGCCGTGCCATAAGATAAACGAAACAAAACCGTAAATACTACGTACTCTTTGGAGAGAAGTCGTTCTATCAGTGTTTCTGGCTTGGCACAGTGCCACAGCGTCTGTAGACTCCGCAACAGCTCCATATCAATGTCCGCACGGCTAGCCACAGGCGGACCGCAGTCCTTGGCTGTTAACGGCGGGGGAGGACCCAGCGGATGGTCAGACATCGCCTGGTGGAGAGTCTCATACTTCTTCAGGAGCGGATGATTCCAGACGTTCTGCATACTGATTCTGTCCTCCGGTCTCTTCTGCAGGATCCGTTGGATCAGGTCCGCTGCCTCCACGGTAAGCCAAGGTGGTAGGTGATATTCTCCTTTCTTGACAAGGCGTAGAGTATTTGAGAGATCGCCTCCATCAAATGGAAGAAATCCGGTTAATAGGGCGTAAAGGATGATGCCGCAGCTCCAGATATCCGCCTTGTCGCCCCGATACCTCCTACCGTAAATGATTTCCGGAGCTGCGTAATGCGGGCTTCCACAGGAGGTATTCAGCCAGTGACCAGCAGGCTGCAGAGCAGCCATCCCAAAGTCAGCTAGTTTTATATTGTGATTGGCATCCAACAGTATATTTTCCGGCTTCAGATCACGGTGGCAGATATTGAACCGATGGCAGTACCACAGACCCGAGATAATCTGTCGAAACAGTCTAACTGCTTCCTCTTCTGGGAGGGGCCCGTTCATCGATACGTAATCGAAGAGCTCTCCACCTTCGACATATTCGAGAACAAGATACCTGGGAACAATCCTCAGCTAACAATCTTGCGATCTACTCACACCCTTACTCACAGTTCGCCTCGATTCTCCCATATGTCGTAAACCTTGATCACGTTGGGGTGTTCGATCAGTTTCATGATGACAACCTCCCTTTCAATCCCATATGGCATTGGCCTGCTACCAGGAGTTAGGCTCAAAAATCCCGCATTCCGATCCATTGCTGCGATGCTTTCGCTCTGAACCATTGCCGCGGACTTCTTCGAGACGATCTTGACGGCCGCGGCCTGGCCCGTTACCGCGTGTTTAGCAAGTCGGACACGACCGGTTGCTCCCTTTCCTAGGGTCCTTCCCAGCTGCCATGGCCCCACGTGTGTCTTCCTGCGTCCTTTTGCCGATGTCGTTGACGTCGTCGATATGGCCGAATTCCGATTCGAGTCCTCTTGGGAATCCGTGACTACTGACAAGCATTTGTTTTCAGCAGCCAAGGCTGAGGAGCCTGGGTCGACGTGAATCCCGACGGCCTTCAGTTGCTCATGATCCACCGTTGCTTCTCGCCCTCGTGTTGGCCCTACGGCGCTGTTATTGACTCTGCTGGTAGCATCAGTAAGCGGTTGACGTCCCGAGTGAGAGCGAGCACCGCCTGCTGCATGGTCCATCTCCGGATTGTCACGATGAACGGATGATCCGCAAATTTGCTTTTCTTCGTGCCACGTTTGACCAGCAGTCGTGAGGTCGATTCTTCGGCAATGAGTGATAGATGCACAATTTACCGAGGACACAAGGAACGTATGAAATCAGATAAACAGACAGGGAGGTTGGAAATCAACGAAGAAGCTTGTAACGAGAGGACGCTGGTAGCACTAGCATTAGGTCAAGAGAACGAACGTGGTCGAAGGATTGACAGTAAAGGGCACATCTGCGAAACGACTTCTCACGACAGCATGAGAACACCCCTTCTGCGTTGTGAGGGAGAGACAGCAAGCAGAAGAGATCAGGATCCTCTCCGACAGTCGCTAGAGCCACACCAGACCGTCGGGAAAGGCAAAGAGAAAAGTGAGCATGGAGCAAGTCAGGCATGCCAAATTCGAACACCGAGTGAGGAATGGGAAGTGGTCCATCTTGTTTACCCCACGTCGAATTCCAGGGTCTCCCAGGCATCGACCTGCGGAATGTGTTGACCCCGTATCCTTTGAGATAAACACAATCACAGCGGAATTCAGAAAAAAAAAGTCAACTGGATTTTCTGCATTTATTTTACCTCTCAAGCCAAATTTTACCACAGTGCAGAGCAGTTATTAAACTCAAATATCAGTTTGATTTCTGCATTTGGCGCAGGCGCTGACACGCTCGTCGACGCCTGAGATCAACAGAGACACCGGAACGAGATCTCGATTAGTCCTCATTCCACACTCATCTATGCAGATTATCAAAAGTTGATCGACAGGGATGGGCCTTTCCCATTCTATAGTGTACATTCCAGGCCCGTAGGATGACCTCAGGTGGAAAGAAAGCACGCGTTTTGAATTTGTTCATAATCAAGGCAATCACCGAGACACCGATTAATGAGGCTCTCCAGCTTTTGGCTGATTTTCCAGGCCATACCTCCTAGAAACTCATTTGTGAATTGCGTCATTTAATGGTGCTGTTATCTTCAGGAACCGAACGCCCCTGCGCGCAGTTACGTGTGTCGTGTGCGCACATTCCAATCGACCATGGTCGCGAACGAGAAATTAGCAACGCCAGAGCTCTAACAGGTTTTATATGACAATCAATTGATAATATTAGAGTTATCAAGTAATTGAACTCGTCAGATTGAGTTATCTCCTTTCACCGTAGAAGCGTTCAATAAGTAAACGTCGTCTACCCAGGTAGTTAATTCGCGGTGTTGTCGGTGACTGGAGCTCGTCCCGATCTGGTCTAGCGCAAGATGGCAGGGGTCATCCGGCATGCTAACAGGCGATGATTATTATTATTATCTACTCCTCCCTTTCTTGATGGTGAGAAGCTCAAGGTCTGGCGTTTTAATATCATCAAAAGCATAGCTACGTAGCTTCATCACCATGTAACTCAATTGAGGTTGCCCAAATGGACTAGTTCTTTAATTGGTCCCATCACCAATGCTCCTCAGTGATTTTCACATCTTCCACATCGACACCATCGACAAACCATCTGCCCTCACCGTTCCCATCAGGCCCTAGTAAGATATCATTACCAGACATCTGGCGCTTTCGCATCTTGCCTGTCTCGTAGTCGAACGTCCAGTCTTCGAGCCCGTAGCATCGCTTCCAACGCATCCCGTCGCTGGCGTCTTGGTATTCATACCAGAACTGCACCGCGATGCGGTTGTCCGTAAACGCGAATAGTTCCTTGCGAAGACGGTACGAGCGCTCCTTCTCCCACTTTGCTTTCAGGAAGGCGATGATGGCGTCTGTGCCCTTGAAGAAGCTGTCGCGATTACGCCAGATGGAGTCGGGGGTATAGGCAGCTGAGACACGCACAGGATCTCTGTAGAGAAACGGAATTAGTATAGTTTTCTAGGCCATTGGACTCTCTCTCTCTTTTTTTTTAATAAAAATTCTGAAGTTGCACCTCTACATTTCATGAATGCTTGACTGCTCATGGCTAGAAACAAGGGGATTCATAGGGTCATGATGAACAGAGCAAAGACAGTATGTGTAAAAGGCACTATGGGCAATGATTACGCGCAATTGACGACAATAGAAAAGGTGAATCCAGACTCAACTGAAGTAGGAGGTTGACAGAGAAAGAAGGGAAAGGAATGAATTTACCGAGTATTCCACAAATCCTGCGCCGCCTTGACCTTCTTCCGTGCCGTCTCTTCAGTGAACGGGGGCTTGATGTCTGCCATGGTGGTTGACACTCTTATTTCTTTTCTTTTTTTCGAGAATAAATTTCCTTGATTAGGTCTGAAGGCTCACAGAGGGTTCAACTGGGTTCTCTGTTGGAGATGCGAGGATAAACAAAGCAGAAGACCAGATATATATAATCTGGTATATATATTCTCTCAGCGTTTCAACCCAGCAATAAAAAGTTCTATGAAATGGTTCGACGATTAAGGTTCGTTTTGTTTTCTTCTCAGCTGCAGACCGTCAGCCCATATAAATGTTAGTACCTGACGCTCGTTGACCAATCTCCTCGTGCGTCATCCTTGTCATGTTGCTTCTCCGGCCGTTCACCGACCCGTGTCACAAGGTTTAGCGCCGTTGCTACATCCTACTGACGCATTTGTTAGTCATCCTCTCCAATAGAACTTCGTGATACTTATTCCCCCCAAAAGGCTACTTCTTCTGTCTTTGTATACTGTGGTTGTTGCTTCGACGGGATTGCATCTGGAATTATTACGCTGGACACTTGTTGGCTTCGTTGGATTATCTTAGGTAATTAAATTATTCTCTCAAGGGCTGTGAGTATGCCAGGTACAGGACCGACTTGAGTAGCCATCTGATACTGTTCACTGAGCGAAATGAAAATGTATTCACGTTGAGTAATCACGGGAATAATAATATGAGCCCTATGAGCGCGTGTTTGCGCCCTGGGAAATGTGCCCGTTATCATAGAGCGGGTTTATCTGATCGTGACTGATCGGTGTGCTCTCCGATTATCTTATCGGAACCGGACCCCTCCATTGTTGACTACCAGATTGAGCACTATTCCTTACGGAGCACTATAACCATGCCTGGAAAACTACCAGAATTTAGATCCACTTGCAAATTTCCTTTTTGGTGGCTAATTGACCAAATATGGACACTCCTCAGTCACGTCAGGTGGCAGGTATTTGACGTGCTAGAGCATGGGTTGTTTATATATATAGTTCTTATTAAATGAGCTTAATATATTCAATAATATGAAGGCACAATTAATAGCACAAAATATCTTCCCTCTATGACTGTGATTCTAAGCCTTCAATCAATAATGCTGCCAAGATGAGAAACTATATATTTTGACCGCCTTCGGCTACTGGCGGCAAACGACAAAAAGAAACAAACAAATGAGAGCAGTATGCTACTCCGTAGAATAGCATATCACGCCACCTGGCAAGCATTGATGCTGGCTTCCTGCCAGGCAGCAAATGAAAAACAATCCTGGTGGCAGATGTCGAAGTTGACCCCGCCAAGGGACACGGCTTCTTTGCGGAGGGGCAGATTCGATATCGGAGCGAATGGCATCACGTGACTTCGTGATGGGCGACGTGACGTGTGCCTGCAGGGAACCCGCTGTCGGCCTCGCCTTCCGTTATCATCATTCGCTGCTCCCTGCCACGTTGTCTACCCCTCCTACTGAATCTACTCGCCTCGTTTATTTGTTGTAGATAGGCTTATTTTAATATTACATCACTGCAGCAGCGAGTAGTTTATGTTCATCGGGACATCGGATTCGAGACGAGGATCCTTTAAAGATTTTGCATCATGTAAGGAGTACTTGCTGAAAAAAAACTTCTCCGACAAGTGCTTATTCGTCACACAAAGGGAAGGAGGCGGGCTTGTCATCGGGCGTCAGGTCGACCCTTGGGACCGCTCGTGAGGATGGATTAGTCAACTTGTACGGTCTAGATATCCCCAAGCATGTCGGTCTGGCAACGAGGGAGGTGTCCACGACCCGTCCACGGTGGGGGGGGGTATGGCGGGGCATCTCAGTCTCGGGCGGTCTTCTTGATAATACCTTGATGGTCACATAGCAAGTGACACGCTAATTGAGGAACGCCATGGAAACCGTGTGAAGGTCTGACTATCGGACCACTCCCAAGCGCCGGTCCGGCCTCTCATTGAATCCGATCACCTTATTGCGTCGTTGTGGGCTGCTCTTACTCCACGGCGCATCCAGTGTTGGCGCCTGCGGCAAGGTACCAACCCGCACCTATATTAACCGTCAACTTTCCGCACCCCTCCCGTGCTTCCTCTACATCCAGGACAGTTCGTCAACCGCAGTCGAAAAAGCTACTCTTACAGTTCTTGCCGACTTTGACCATCGTATTCGCTATCCAAGATGTCCGGACTCAAGCCTGGTGACACCTTCCCCTCCGACGTCGTCTTCGAGTGAGTAACCCCGCCCGTTTGGATTCCCTCCCAGACCGCATCAGAAGGCTGACACCCGATGATAGGTACATCCCGTGGACTGAGGAGAAGAGCGACATCACCGCCTGCGGTATCCCTGTCAAGTACAACGCCTCCAAGGAGTGGGCCGACAAGAAGGTTGTCCTCTTCGCTCTTCCTGGTACGTTGCCACACCGGACAAGTCCCTATCGACTTTTCATTGGTCCGCAGCGCTGACGGTTTTCCCTATTGAAAAGGCGCCTTCACTCCTGTTTGCTCTGCTCGCCACGTCCCCGGCTACATTGAGAACCTCCCGAAGCTCAAGGAGAAGGGTGTTGACGTCGTGGCTGTCCTGGCCTACAACGATGCCTACGTCATGAGCGCCTGGGGCAAGGCCAACAAGGTCACTGGCGACGACCTCGTAAGCATACCCAATGCCATCAACCCTTGCGTAAATGAACGTTGCTAATGTCGACTGTTTCAACAGCTTTTCCTGTCTGACCCTGACGCTAAGTTCTCCAAGAGCATCGGCTGGGCCGACCACGAGGGTCGCACTGGCCGCTACGCCATCGTCCTCGACCACGGCAAGGTCATCTACGCTCAGCGTGAGCGTGAGAAGAACGTCCTTGAGGTAAGTTTCTTGAAAACAATGCTAACTGCACGATCTAAGCTTGCCCGAATTCGAACTAACATATTGTGCTTGCAGGTGTCGAGCGCCGAGGCTGTCCTTGCTGCTATCTAAATGAGGCAGAGATCTCTCTGAAGAGGCAACGCCAGTGTATTTCTTTGAATGGGATACAGGGCGTTGATTTTCTCTTCAAACGATCCAGTGGTGGTGGCTGGATGATGACCCTTCGCTTTTTCGAAAGCGAAATGACCCATAGATTATTAGATTTACATATCTAGAGAACTAGAAAGCCCCCCCCCCCCCCCCCAATAAAATACCCTTATTCTCTCAAACGAATTATCACCGTCGTAGTTTGGATTTTGTATGTACTGTATACAGTACGTAGGTTAAGTAAGGAGAGTAAACGTTTTCCAACGTATTTCAATAATCTTGTTCCTCAGCCACTTTGATAACCTTGTTATCATCAGCTTTCTAGGAGAGATTGGCGGGGCACGATCAGCCAGAGATCATCTACGCCAACCTGATGACGCGCCAAGCCCGGAAGGCAGTAGTGACATTTTTGCGGAGCGATCATCTTTCCGCCAGATCTCCATTTTCCTCCCAACAATAAGTGAAAGGCCGCAATGGCTCTTAATCCTCCATCCAAACGAAAGTCGCCCTCTTCGGGGCCTTCTGGGGCTCAGGATTCTGCGGCCGCACGCAAACGCGCAAAAACGTACGATGCTCGCGCTCTCGCGGTACAGTCCGCCGACGCCGCTCTCTCCGCGACCGGTGAACTCGACGTGGCCGCCTATGTGGGAGCTCGCGAATACGAGATCCGGGCTTTGGAGTCCGGGATGCAGCGGTCTAAAGCTGCTTTGATGAGTCGTGCCTTTCAGAAGGTTCCACGATCACTGCGGAGGAGAACGGCCAGTCACAATGTGAAGAGAATTCCCAAGCGACTGAGGGCACGAGCGAAGAGAGAGGTATTGTCGCATCCTTATTGAGTCCTGATTAATTATACGTCTCTGTTTGATTTCTTGGGATGGGACGAGAAGTCTACAACAATTTGGATTTGGTGGATAGCGTCATGTTCGTTCAATGCTGACAGGTATCTATCAGATGATAGAAGACAACACGCCCACAGTGACCGCCCGTCGACGAAAACCAACAGAGCTCCTTCGTCTCCGTCTAGAAACTGCTCGACGTCTCCAGGGTCTTAATGCGAAGACCAAGGCCAAGCGTGCTGCCTCTAAAGCGAAACGAGATAAGGAGCGAAAGTTGCTGTCAGAAGCCGGGGATAGCCATAGCTACGAGATCGCGCCCCGGGTTCCCAAGATTAAAAAGTACAAGCTCTCTCAGCCACCGCCGCCAGATTCAAAGTTCAAGAAGCGTCAGCGCGGGAAGACGTGGTTGCCCACCCACATGTTCCACGCGAAGCGAGCACACATGACGCCGTCGAATGAGCCGCTTTGGCGATTCGCGGTCCCATTAACACCGACTGAGAAGAGTTACCGACCTACTCATCGTGCAGCAGGAGCGAGAGGAGCTGTAGCGTGGGACATGAGTTACATTTCTACAATCCAATTGGAGGGAACTCGATCGGCCCTGGAAAATGTCCTGAAAGCGGTTGGTGTCGATGGCGATGACGCGTGGGGGAATAAAGGGACGAAGTGGAGGCAGGGAACAAGGAGCCTGCGAACGTGGGTTCATGAGAAGGAGGGCGATAAGGGACCGATAGCACCAGTGACGCTTATCTGGTGTGCGAGATCTAAACCAGAGGATGTTGAAATGACCAATGCAGATGAGGTTCCTCGGAAGAAAAAGAAGCAACCTAGAGACAAACTCTTTATCCGCGTTCATCCATCTGCATTTCTGCAGCTATGGAACGAACTCCTCCCTCTGTCAAAGAGGCAGAACCCTCCAGTTATGGTTGAGGATCTGCGGTTTGAGATTGGAAGCATTGAGGTTACTGGACCTGGATCTACCGAAACACTGATTGCAACTCTGCGACCTTTCACTGCAGAGGGACAAGAGCTGCCAACGGATAGCCCAGAAGCTACCTGGTTGTCCCTTTTGGGAGTGACAAATCCGTCCTCTCTTCCGGCCAATGCGCTCTTGGCCTTCTCTATATCCGATCCCCGTTTGCATTTCCCTTTGCAGCCTATGAAGCCTCCGTCGTCCGAATCGAGCATGAGTGACCTTGCCGCGTTGCTTTCTTCGTGGCCGCCAGACAGAACCCAGGGACCACCGTCACTTTTTGACCGACCTGCACGCCTGGCCGCCGTCCGTTCTCTTCCTAGCCAAAAGGCGATTAATCGCCGGCGGACCTTAGCTGGTCCCGGGGCACATCCCTCTCCACAGCCCTCCGACCCGCGCATACCTATCATTCTTCTTGCGACTAGACCGCAAAGCAGTTCCAAGCATAATAACTCTCATGGGACTTGGACTGTTCTCTTGCCATGGAAATGCGTCGTTCCGCTGTGGTATATGCTTATGTACTACCCGCTGTCGAGTGGTGGAAACCCGAGATTTGGCGGTTTGAAGGAGCAGCAGCAGCTTGCCTTTGAGCGTGGAGAACCCTGGTTTCCCGGGGATTACCCTGGCACCCAGGCTGGTTGGGAGTGGGGTATCCGTGAGCGGGAAGAGAGGCGGAAGGAATGGGAAAGGAGGCCTAAGGGGAGGCGGATAGAGTTTGACAGCATCGATCTGGGGAATGGTCAGAAGGGCGAGATAGGACGTGGTTGGGCCTGTGACTGGGAGAGATTGATCAGAGGACCCCCTGGGGCGGAAAAGGCGGAGAATGTCCAGGACAGCTGCAGAGCTGACCATGGTGACAAGACAAAAGCAGCTGTGGATGAAGTCCACGAATCTGCTAAGACGGCTCAGGAGGCTGGGAAGCAGGCTTGCAGCCCACCCTGGGTATTCAGCAGCTAAGCTCCGAGACTGCTTCTTCTATCATCAATCACCACCTTGGGGAGCTTCTTCCGGCAAGCTTGCAGTCCTTGATTTCCAAGCCTTCCCTTGCAACCGTTAGGATATCACTATATGGTCGTGGTACACCAACCCCGTGTGCTCGCATTTACCGTCTTCCTACCAACAATTACGAACTACGCCAGAAATGGCTGTCTCTAGCATCTTCAGCTAAGGCGCCCTCGTCATCTTCAAAACCGCTATCCAACACCGATCTCAATGCCGTCCCTGGCAAATCGCAGAACCCGAAAGAGAAACAAAAACAAAGGAAGCAGCAGCAGCAGCAGTCTCCGAAGGATCCCCTTGTCCAGAAAGCTGAAGCTCGCCAGCGGCTGGCCGCTTCTCTGATTGAGTCGTCACTGTCTACTGAGGAAGACACCCACCTGCCTATACCTCCGGAAGAAGACCTGATCGGATTCGTGACGACTGGCAACTACAATCTTTCCGAAGGAAAAGGAACTGGCATCGGTTCCATTCTGGTCTCAAAGGTGGTGGGTAATGAGGCCTCCATCGTGGAAGAAGGAAAAACGAAAAAAGGAAACAAGTCGAAAGGAAAACAGATCCATGAGATGAGGATGTGCATTATCCGGTCTGCTGGGGAGCGGGTTGGGAGACTAGGGGTATGGGAGTTGGTTTGATCTATCGACGAGGATTCTCTGGAGAATCGCATGATCGTCTTACTGCATACCTGCATTCTTTTGCATGACCTGGGCGTTGTAAGGACCGGACTGGATAGACTCTAGGGATGTATATAGGTTAGAGTGATAGACACCTACATAAAAACTCTTAGCTTTAGAGAAAAAAACATGTTTGAACCTAACCGTTCAACGTTATTTCTCTTCCCTCTGGTGTCATATTTGTATCAGTTGGCATTTATCTAGACACCTCAGGCATCAACAGGTCGGGAATGCTCTGATGACTAAGCCTCGCCAGCCATGTGATCTGGTCCGACGGAATTCCCGTTGGATACCGATCGGATCTCTGACGACTTGCGCCCAAGTCTCTATCTCCAGACAAGACCCAGCAGCGATTCGGGGAACCATCGCGATTTGTTTTTCACCCACTTCTTGTGCACAGGGACGGTTATACCGAGCAGCAGGAGCTGAGCCAGCAATGGGCGCCGGCAGCTCAAAGCCCGAAGCCTCGGCCGGGTCGAAACATGTTTTCGCTAGGTGAGTGCAAAGTGAATCCGGATAAAGCGGAGGCGCAAGGAAAAAAAGAAGGAGGGAAAGCGAACGATTATTTGATTACAAGCCTATAAATCGTTATTTGTTTTTCCCTATATAGGAGTCGTCCTTCTCCAATTTGTCTGCGACGCAACGATTTACCGGTTTCATTTGCGCATCTCACGTGTTGGGAAATAAGCTTGGAAATATAGAATAGTATCAAGCACAAAATTGGTGCAAAGGAATGATCAAGGCTAACTGATCTCTCGTTCTCCTTTGTAGTGAAACCCCGGTCCAATTCTCTACCAACCTGGTAGAAGCCCTTCAGTCTTCCGCAGAGGTACCAACCCATTGAGTCTCCATCCACCTCCACTGCACCGAATCTTGTCGAAAATGGGGAAAAAGCGTTAGATAAGGGAATAAAAAACAGTGTCTGACATGATTTCCTCTTCAGACCGACTCAACCCGTGCCAAGGAGCTCGAGCTGCACATCCAAGCTCGCGTTGCGGAAGAGCTCGAACGTCTCCGGCAGCGGGAGCAGCAGACTCTCGAAGAGATCGAGAAACGTCTTGCCGCTGAAACCGGCAGCCGGCCCTCTGCTGCTGCGTCTACTGCAGCTCCGTCCCCCTCTAAGTCTGCCACTATTCCCGGATCTCTAAACCTCGACGCTCCTCGGATCCCCTTTGCTGGCCGAGAGTTTGATGCACCACCGGCCCCAGCCCCAGCCCCAGCCCCTGAGCCTGCTCAGCAGCCGCAGCAGCAAGCACCCCCTGTTGTCGAGCGGGATCCCTCTCGCGACTCCGTGCTGAAGGAGATCGAACGCCTCCGAAGCAAGCTCGAATCGCGGAAGAAACTGGCGGACTTGGACGAAGGCGTGGAGCGAGCCAGATCAGAGGTGATCAGCTGCCTGCGGACAAATGACCGACGGCCGCTCGACTGCTGGAAGGAGGTGGAAGACTTCAAGCGGGAGGTGGCCAGGCTTGAACGGGCCTTTGTGGACAAGGTGGTGGGATAAAAGGGCGGTCAACCGAATTTAGGGATTTCAGAAGGAAAAAAGAAATCTCTCCAGATTAGAAGAAATAGACTAATGAGAGACAAAATGGGGAGGAAAGGGAAGGAGAAGAAACAGCATCATCATGTGTCATTAACTTGCACACTGCCATCTTTTTGACAAGAAATGTAGCATTAGACCTTTGGAACATGTCTTTTATCCTCAGTGATTTATATGTGATTTATGGGGTTCAAAATGTATGACTGTCATACAGTACTGGAGGTTACTTGTCTGTGTGACAGAACCCAATCTCATTCCTATCTGAATAGTTTGAGGTGGTTAAACTATAAGAGACCAAGCTAGGGAAGGGAAGGAAGGAGGGAGAAAGAGGGGTTAGAGGTTAGTAGGAGGGAAATATTAGAAATACTGCCTGGCAGAACTATCACTACCTTCTACACTACTCATATGACAACATCCTACATGTGCTCATCTGAAACATCTGGTTGTGGATTGTCACAGTCTGTATTGAACAGTGCTCGAGTTGTACAGACTGCATAAATCTCATCCTGCATCAAAGGCATATGTAGATCACAAGCCAATTAATTCATCATCAAGAGATGATTATTTTATTTCATTTTTTGAGATGCTTTGCAAGTGTATATCTGTGTCTGCTGATAGATTTACCCAATTTCCAAGTCTGGCCAACTGCCTGGACGGGACCGTGGGGAATGTCGCATGTCATCCTCTGCCTGGCCAATCAGTCTGTCTGCATGTGGAGACCTATTATTGTGTGCAGACACAATAAATTGTGCGGCATTTGAGTCTTTTTCTACTTGTGTGATTTGACAGCATGAATTAGATCTAATGTGTGTGCAGTTCGATTGGCTGCTGTGTGCGCCCCTGGCAGTGTCGCTGGGGACTGACAGCGACTTCCCCGTCAATGCTCCGGGACTAAGGCACGGCCATCCTATCGGCATTAATTGTTGCTTAACCACGGGCGTCTGGCGTCCAGTTCCTGCTTCCCTCCCTGCTCTTGCATCCCTC